TAGTATCACCTTTTTATTTGATTTTTATCTTATGTAATTTAAGTTTAAATCCAAGTAATTCTGAAAGCACTCCTGAAAGAGCAGATAACAGTACCACTTTTGTGATTGTATACAGATAGGGATTCGCTGATAGACCAGATATTTTGAATGGACTTTCAAGTTCCTGTAAAACAATGTTAGTTATTCAATATAATCAAAATATTTGCAAATACAGCTTATGATTTAAAAAGAAAGCAATAACCTGCATTACCTTTATCAGATCAGCTGCCAATTTGAGTACGTTATTCGCTACCATGAGCTCTTCCTTTTTATGTGGTTTTTGTTCTATTTGTAAATATAAATTAATCTAGAGAGAGAAACGAACGAAATAAAGTTGCTGGTGAATCAAGCAGAATTTAGAATGCACATTAACTATTACGAATCTAATCTATTACTGTAATTACCTGTTCTGTTATTAAGACAGACAGATTTCTATATTTTTTATTAATTTTCGTGCCCAGCGTCATAAAACGTAATATAAATATTCCAAGAGAAAAGCTCCATGATAAAGCTTCAACGTTATATCGGGAATGCAAACTTTCAAGATCCTGCAAAATTACAATGTATACAAAGTCAGACAGTCTTCTCGTGTTACTATTCTTTAACATTTATTTACTTATTACCTTAATTAATTCCAAGCTCACAAATGATAACAATAGTAATGTAACTACAAATACTGCTGATACTATTACATCTACAGAACGTTGTGGACCTCTCCTCTATAACAAATTGTATAACAATTGTGTATCTTTAATCATTTTTTCTCTTTTGTTGTTATATAATAATATTTTAAAACAAATACAAAGAAAAACATTATAATATTTTTTTACACAACTTACTTTCAGATAAGATCTAACGCTCAACCACAATTTAATATTTCGCACTTTATTTAATCGGAAGTGTGGTAAATCCGATTTTCTTGCACGTCTTGATGATGTTAAATGTGAAAACAGTTTAGCATATAAAAGCCTTTGCTTATAAGTACGTTCAGCAACTGCTAATAGAAAAAATAGTAAAGAAGATAACATAAGCCTCTCGAATGCTGATATAAGAATTACTACACGTTCCCTGAAATCAAGTTAACAATTCGTTAAATTAATTTATTCTAATTTCTTTTATGACACATCGAAAATCAGAATCTTATTATACAATAAATCTGTATTTACCAAAGAGTTGCCCCAAACGTTAATCCTATTATTTTACATAAAATATCGCTGTATGTTTCCAAATTAACGGAAATCAAATCATTTGGTATGAAGGAACTGGTTAGATTACTGCTATTGTCCATTCCAGCGTGATCACTTAACCGATTTATAGACGGTATTAACGATAAAGCCACGCTGACCATCAGCCCCCCATAAAAATAACTCATACTCTCTGGCATTGATTCTACTTTAGCAATAATTGCTGAACTGATGTCTAGCACAGATAGCTCAGCTTTTTTTACATCGCGTCGTGCCCATATAGTACACGAAACTGAAAAATTTTAAATAATAATTATAGTGACCATTATATAGTGACAATTTGTAATTTATTATTTCTATATACATTACCACGGTCGCACGAAGCACAACTAGAACTAAGCATTATAGAAGGCGGTAATTCAAATTCCCAAGAGAAAGGATGCTCCACGAATTCTGAATAATTTTTGTTAGTTTCATTATGGATATCAGACTCCTCAAGCTCCGAACTGTAAAAATTTTTATTATATCTATTATATTATCTTATTTATAATATTGAAGTCTATATGTATAATTTCATTATACAAAAGAGAAGTAAAAATATGACCTTAAAATTGCAAGAAATTAATTTAATGTATATTTAATTCCGCACCTATAGCTGCATTCATCGCTATTTGTAGTTACTCCCATCCACTCAGTAGCAGATGTTGTGGCTTCTGTCAAATGATTTATGGCAGCTTCTTCACATTCTCCTTCTTCCTCACTTTCGCATTGTTGTCGACCTTCTCTTGGCCCAATCATGATGGGGGTAGGCACTTTATCCTTTAGAAAATGATTCTCAAAATTTAATAATTTATTATTTAGAGAGAGAGAGAGAGAGAGAGAGAGAGAGAGGAGAGAGAGAGAGGTGTACATCATATTAAGTTTTACAATTAAGTAAAACGTTTGTGAAACCTAATTATGTCACATAATAAAATATAACACTGCAAGAAAATTAAAAAATAGACATTTAACCGTATGTCGCGAAACGTTACGAATATAAAATTAGTTCTAATAATTTGTTTAGCAATAAACACAATTATTCGTCGTACAAAACTTATACTACCTCTTTATTAAGGACGTAAGTGTGTCCATAAAACATGAGAAATATTTTCTACTTTCTGATAATAGTATGAACAATCAAATTTTAACAGAACTAAAGCTGCTTACCATTTTATTAGAAGTTTCTCCTACGCTTTTTGAAGAATTATCTTCAGTCTTCAATAACTCACGTGCTGCATGGAAAGTGGAACACAATCATTTAGCTAATTTGCCATCTTACCTTTCTAAGGAAAACTCATGTTAGCAGTTCAAAATCCGACATTTTTAAAAATAAATATAATATGTATGCACACTGGTAAAATTTAACAATATGTTAAATATGTTAATACAGTATCCAATTTCAATTTGTTATATTTTAATAATTTTAACATTCGACTGAAAAGTATTATAAGTCAAACCTGAAAATTTAGATTGCAATAAGGTCTGTTGACTAGCAGAATCATCATTATTTTTATGCAATACAGCTCTTCTTTTCTTAGGCTTGTCTAACATTGCTTGTGCAGCCCCTTTATCATTGTCACTCGATACATTTCCATTTAAACTTTCAAATCCATCATCATCTTGATGTATATTTCTTATATATGGAACATCATCTATAAAAAGAATATATACAGTGACTATAAATTAATATTAACATTATACATGGTCACCTAACTAACTGTGATCACCTAATTCTAAATAAGTAAAATAAATATTTAAATGATCCCATTTAAATTAGATATATTGCATTATATTAATATGTATATACTAATAATAATTAATAATAATATTACAATCTACTAACTTGATTGAATACGACTAGTCGTAGCTTCATTCATAAGAAGAGGATTGTTCACAGCCGCATTATTTAGCTCATTATTACAGGATGCTTGAACATTCATAAATTCCTTTAAAGATAAGATACTATTAAGGCTGCTTTTAAAACGTTGTTAATTATGGACACTTTTGATTAATAAATTGTAATTACCTGAGACAGGCTAACAGTCAAGGAATTTTCAATTTCAACTTTCTTTGCAAATCGCACAGAAGTCAATACTTCCCCGCTTGCTCTACTAGCTTTCTCAGAAGCATTATCTTGAAATGACTTGGAATCTTCATGTATACCTATGGAAACATATAATTGGTAAAAAGATTATATGTATATCTTACGAAAGCAACACTTACGTAAACTATGTCTTGTTCTTGATTTTCCCAATCTACATCTTGTGTGCCTGGAGCGCCTAATTATTCTCTGTTTACTATGTCCGTTTGTTACTATTGGACCTGAATGTGTTGACACAATATGGGAATGAACGATGCATAGAGTAAGCATCATAATAGCAGGTATTAATACTTCTGATGTAGTCACAATCTAAAATACAAGTATATCATTTTTAAATATTTTTTTAAAAAGCTTTTGTATAACTCAACATAAATGCAATGATTTCATACATCACTTTCATCATCTTTTGCCATTTGATAAAAATATATACACATATTGATCAACTGCAAACTATACAGTAGTAAAAATAATATAAAAATTTTTGAACTAGTTTGTTGTGTCCACCATTTTCTATATAAAGGTAGAAATAATAGCCTTTGAAAAGCCAGACAAGCTACTGTAGACAATCCATGCTTTGGCTTGGCTTTTGGGAAAGAAGAACCTATAAAGGATTTTTGTTAATCATTCCTGATTATTAACTAAATATTTTCTAATTACTTATTTAAACATTAAGCTGTTTCAAAAAATATTAAATAATCCATAGAATCCACATTTGAAACTTTACCTCGCACAAGATCTACATCGATCAGTTCTGTTTTAAGTTTTGCAGTTCTCATTGGAACATGTGTAAATCCCCCAAGTATATGTTGCTCTACAGTTTTCTCCCATTGTTGTTTATCATAAGTACCAATTTTCCTCTGATACCTGAAATAGAAAAGTTATTTATCTCTCAGGTTGAATATATTTTATACTCAAATCATTTTCTTCATAATATAACATCGAATGAAAACATTTCTTACCAATGTACCAGCTCATTTAATTTCATTTTTGCTGATTGCTATCGCAGTCCTACAGTGTCGCTATTAATTTTTAATTTTGCCCAACAATTGGACGTGTCTGAATAAGCGGAAGATAATTTTGTGTATATTTTTGTTAGTACGTGTAAAGAAAATGTTGCTTCCATAATATATAAGGAGCAATAACTGGTAAAAGCTTTTTATTTCACGATATTCAAACAGTCGAAAAACACAAAGTGTGATTGACGTTTGTGATACATTTGTTAATTTCTACGTCATTGTCGAAAACACACGATCGTTTAAGTAATTCTCAATAACAACTGTGACAATGAAGTACGTATCACGATGATCTTCAATTGTCTTTAATTTATAATGTATTTACTAATCAAATCTGATGCAATGAATATGATATGCCTCAACATAACTGGCAATGGGCAATATCAATTATATTCTACTCCATTCTATTCTACTATATTCCTTGTCGACAGTGCCAGTGCCGTATCATTAACAGTTGGAGCGGAATGTGATTGTACGATCTATGTAAAGTATTGTACATACTATATGTACACATACATACAGTAGATACCGTAAGGCAGATTTACAATGATTTCTATATAACGTGAATGCATCGACATAAGAATATATGGGCAATATGGATGAAGCATATGTGCTGCATTAGATCATATCATGGACCTAAAGAACTGAGCATAAACTGCCAATTAAATTCCGATAAATAGAATCGATACCCAAAAATCGATTCTTATAAAACATCGATACGTTAGAATCGATTATTTTTAAAAAGAATCGAAAAAGAAAAATTCTAGACGAAAATAATCAAGAATGATAGATGTGTCTTGAACGTAAAAACATAAAAGAAAAAGACGTGTGTAAGATCAAAAGTTCTAATGAAATTGGTACAGTAATCAATTATCTGTCGTCAAATTGTGATTGTAATTTCGTTGCAACCACGGACTTAGTAATAGAGGGACGGTGCACAAACTAGACGAGTGGGCCCACGGACTTAAGAATGGAACATGACAAATGAAAACATGTAACGTGGTGCACCGAGATGGGTGCCGGTTCATAAAATATATTTGATATTATTATTAAGTAATGTCACGTTTCAAACGATACCATTTTACCTTACACATGCATTTATAACACGATTAATATAATATATAACAGTATTTAGGAAAATATTTTTGAAATGTCTGTTATTAGTATAGGGTTACTTATTGGACTTTTATCGTCAGTGAACGGAGTACGTGAGTACGAGAAAAAAGATTTAATCGCTCTAAGGGAAGAAGTGCGATCCATGTTTGATCATGCTTACTCGAGTTACTTAGCATATGCATACCCTTACGACGAGCTTCGCTCATTGAGTTGCGATGGATTCGATACATGGGGCAGCTTTTCGTTGACGCTTATCGATGCTTTGGACACTCTTGCCGTGATGGGTAATTTTTCCGAATTTCGACGCGTGGCAGAAATAATAAGTGGTAGAGCAAATTTTGAAGCCAATATAAACGTGTCTGTATTTGAAACTAACATACGAGTAGTTGGAGGATTGCTCAGTGCTCACCTTCTGTCACGTAAAGCTGGCATCAATCTGGAACCTGGTTGGCCGTGCAATGGTCCCTTATTGCGTCTTGCGGAGGACATGGCTAAAAGATTGATTGCTGCTTTTGATACTCCAACAGGAATGCCTTATGGTACAGTCAATTTAAAATATGGAGTACCCGAAGGTGAAACAAGTATTACATGTACTGCTGGCATAGGTACATTTCTCTTGGAATTTGGGACCCTGTCAAGATTAACTGGGGACCCATTGTACGAAGAGGTAGCCTTGAACGCTATTAAAGCATTGCATTACTACAAATCAAATATCGGACTTGTTGGTAATCACATAGATGTATTAACTGGACATTGGACGGCCCAAGATTCAGGAATCGGTGCAGGTGTAGATTCTTATTTTGAATATTTAGCGAAGGGCACGTTGTTGTTCCAAGATCCATTGTTGGCATCTATTTTTCAAGAACATAAGGCAGCGATTGAAAAATATATCCGTCGGGCAGATTGGCATTTATGGGTTTCCATGACAAAAGGTCAAGTCACTTTACCTGTGTTTCAGTCTTTGGATGCTTATTGGCCTGGAGTGTTGAGTCTTTTCGGAGAAATTGGAGATGCTATGAAATCGTTGCATAATTACCATCGTGTTTGGAAGCAATTTGGATTTACTCCAGAATTTTATAATATTCCTCAAGCCGAAGCAGGCACTAACAGAGAAGGATATCCATTAAGACCAGAATTGATAGAATCGGTTATGTACTTGTATAGAGCAACGAGCGATCCTTATTTGATTCAAGTTGGAGTAGACATATTAAGAAGTTTGCAACATAGTGCTAAAACAACATGCGGCTATGCAACTATAAATGATGTTAGAGACCATCGAAAGGCAGATAGGATGGAATCTTTTTTTTTAGCAGAGACAACAAAATATCTCTATCTTCTCTTTGATCCTGATAATTTTATTCATAATTCAGGCCAGAAAGGAGAAGTTATCCAAACACAATGGGGTCAATGTATTGTAGATGCAGGGGGATACATTTTCAATACGGAAGCACACCCTATAGATCCTGGAGCACTATATTGTTGTCATCCAAGTCAGAATTTGTTTTCTGATCAGAAAGCAACGTTATGGAAATTCATTCCAGTTAATGACCAAAAAGAGGAGGAACATATAGAACAGAATATGCCATACCAAGAAGATAACAAAGAAAAGGATGATGGTAAACAACCGATCGAAATAATAAAACTGTCTGAAATAAGACATACTTTCATAAACGATATAGAGAACAGTGTAAATAAAAATGCGGTTAATCCTATGCCACCTATAAATTATAAGACTGATGAAATTATAACATCCGAGAAAGAAGATAATTTGAATGCAGACAATCGAAATCCCGAGTCACTGAAAGTACAAGTCATTGCACCTCCCTCAGTAATTTATAAAGTTGATGATAGCGAAAGTATTGATACTTTTGAAACACCGTCTACATCCCATGGAGATTATTGTACACCCATTGTGGGAAATGATACAGAATCATTTATTAAACAAACTAATACAAAAATAACAAGATTTGAACCACAAATATTACTTGAAAATATTAGGAAAAGAAATTTATACCCGACAAATATTACCGCGAGAATGAATTATCACATGTTATCTTGTCAATCTCAATCATTCTTGCAACGTATATCAATTGTTGGAGAATTTTTTTAATGATATTTAAAATAATGTTACGTATTAAAACGCATAGTTTTTATTTCAATAACCCTTCATTGTTATTATTGTTAATGATAATTGTTTTAAAATAATTTCAATCGAACCAGAAACTTTTTCAGCACAAATGACTGCTCAATATTTAATAAAAAGTTGAAGGAAAAGATTAACTTGTAATAATAATTAAATGTAGCATAATATTATTTTCAACAAGTTAAATTACAAATTCAAATGACGTGCTTTGTACAACAAGAAATCAAATTTTGTCTCAATATACACTAAGCTAGCTAGAGAATTACATCGGAGAGATTCGTAGATATAACAATATTATCTTCTATAAATTCCAATGCAAGGGGCGCTCTTGTATAAATCATAGTTTCTTAGTAATTATTTAGAGTATAATCATAGTGGGTTGGTACTTGAACGAAACGTTTCGACGCGCGACACAAGCGCCGCGAGAATTCTTTCTACGATGGCACGGCACATATTACCAGAGACGTATAACATAGTTTCAATTATTTAATGAGAGATTAATATTGGTGAGATTCAAAATATGGAAATATAAATATTAAGCATTCTATGCTATGAATATTTTTACGTAAGGCAAGCTGCCACTTACCAACCGTATAGAATGAAATGTCACTAACTTTCAATACAACTTCGTATCGTTACGTTATTCATTAATAAATTTTATTAATAACGTTATCATTTTATGTGCCACCATACGGGCAACATGTGTCATTTTTATGAAGAAATCGTTATTAAATATGCTTTCATATGAAGATTGCATAAGATTGCGTAACAGTATAGATGTATATTCGCTATGCAGGTAAGGAGTTAAAGGAGGAACTTCCATGGGGAATTACTGCAAAGTCCCGACCCCTTCCACTCATCGTGTTCAAACATATAAATAGCCCGCGCGTACCCTTGCTTCATTAAACGTATTAAAGTCAAGCACGAAGGTGATTCTGATACTGTCAGAAGTAAAAAAAACTTCAACAAAATAATTCAAAGTAAGTAGATTGTGTTCTTAACAATATCTTGTCATTTTTTAAATCTTTCAAATAAATCTACATTTATATAATCTCAACTTGTTCTGTAATATCGT